CCCCCTCTCCCACCCCCCTTTCCCCCTGCCCCGGCCCCGCCCGCGAGAGGAGCCCGGCCAGCTCTGCTAGCGCCTCCCCGGCCGTTCGGGGCCCTGCGTCGCCATCTGGTGGCCTTGCCGGCAAAACGCGCCCGCAGGGAGGGGACGAAACGGGGCCCGTGGGGAGGGGGGAGGCGGGGTGGCCGCCACGGCCTTCGTCCCCGTCCCATTACCCCCGGGACGCCCCCATCCCATTAGCCCCCCGGGACCCCGGATCCTGGTCCTGTTGGTCCCGAGGGTTTCTCGTCCGACGAAGCCGCGTTAGGAGGATTCACGGGACCCGAGCGGGCGTTCGTTTCCGCTGCTGTCGATTCTCCGGGGCGGACGGAGGGGACCCCGCGGAGACGCAGGATCGGGCCCCAGCGGCACAGGGCCCGTCTCATTCTGTCAGCAGAGAGCGGCGGTGCCCAGGGCGCTGGAGCCGCGAGGCCGCTGGGTCCCGGGGTCCCGGGGCCGCCCCGGGAAAGGAGGCTGCGGGGACACGTGGGGCGGGAACGGCCGAAGGCGCCTCAGCTGCTCCTGGGAAAACCAACCCGAAACAAATCGAAGGACCCCAGGACTGGTCAGGCAGGTCAGGGCCCGGGGGGCGCCCAGGGGAGCAAGGAGGGGCCGGTGCGCACCCCAGGGAGGGCGGGAGGGCGGGTCAGGGCCGGGCCTGGGGGCCGCGGGGACCCAGGACGGGGCCTGGCTCGGGTGAACGTCCGACCTCCCGCCGCCTCCGCGCGGCCTCCCGGGGCCCCAGGCCGGTGCCGCCTCGCAGCGAGGGGCGCGGGGGCTCGGGCGCGGCAGACACGCGGGCGGCGCCCACCCCCGTCCCCCGACCTGCTCGGCTGCCCGCGTGGCGGCCCCAGAAGCCGCTCCCCCGTGGAGGGCCGCTCAGGGCCCCTCCGCACGGACCCGCGGGGCTCAGGGGTCTCGGCTGAACGCACTCGGCGCGGCGGGGGCTGCAGGTCACACTCGCGGGCAGGCGGAACCCCCGCCCCAGCCCCGCGTTTGCCCGTGGCCCGGCCCCGGCACAGGCTGCATCTCCCGTGACCCCGGCCTCCTTTCCGAGGTCGCGGCCGTTCCTGACCCGGACGCAGCAGGTGCTTCTCCTGACGGCCAGGAAGAGACTCAGGCGCCCCCGACCCGTGCGCACGGGCGCCCCGCGGGCCTGCTGACCCAGGGCTGGGGTCCCGGCCTTGTCTCACTCTGCTGCCTGGATCCAGGAGTCAGCCCCACCCTAGGACAACCCCGTTTTCCTGGGGGCCCAACAGGACACGGAGGGGATTCGGGTAATTATTACAGACTGTGGCCGGAAGGCAGCCCTCATCCCCAAAGGCCAGGCGTCCGAAACCCACCCTGCCGGGGCACGGCCGCTCCCGTGGGCTCTGTGGTTGCACCTGGTTTGCACCCCGTGCGTTGGTTAGACCCAAACCACAGGACAGCGTCACACTGAGCGCCTGTAATCCCAGCACTATGGGAGGCCGAGGTGGGAGGATCGCTTGAGACCAGAGTTAGAGACCAGCCTGGGCAACACAGGGTGAAAAATACAGTTAGCTGGGTGCGGTAGGGGCACGGTGGCAGGTGCCGGTAGTCCCAGCTACTCAGGAGGCTGAAATGGGAGAGCTGCTTGAACCCAGGAGGTGGAGGCTGCAGTGAGCTGTGTTGGCATCACTGCACTCCAGCCTGGGCCACAGAGCGAGACTCTGTCCCTCTCCCCTCCCCCTGCAGAAAAAGAAAGTTACTACCGAAACTCATGCAAGGAGAAATGGATCAACTGAATAGGCCTGGATCAAAGAAACTGAATTATCTGGGCACAGTGGCACACTTCCATAGTCCCAGTTACTTCACAGGCCGAGGCGGGAGAATCACTTGAGCCCAGAAGTTCAAGTCCAGCCTGGACAACAGAGATACCCCATTTCTTTAAAAAAAAAAAAAAAAAAGGTGGGGGGAAGAAATTAAGTATGTAAATAATAATCTTCCAAACAAGAAATAAGCAGATGGTTCCACTGGTGAATTCTACCAAACATTTAAGGGGAGAAATGATACCAATTCTCTACAATTCTTCTAGAAAATAGAAACAGCAAAAACACTTCCTAACTCACCCTGAGGCCAGCATTACACTAACAAAACCAAAACTAGATAAAGACAGAAAAAAGGAAGATGCATATCAGTGTCTCTCGTGAGCATCAATGCAAAACCTTGAAATAATGTTAACAAATCGAATGCAACAATGTTTAAAAGGAGTCATACATAACTACCAAGGGGATTTACTCCAGGTGTGCAAGCCTGGCTCAACATTTGAAAATCAATTAATGTCATCCATTTCATTAATGGGTTTCTGCATCAGTTGATAAGATCCTGTGATTTTCTTTGCTTCATCCCCAGATGAAGGATCAGTTGCTGCAGAAAAAGCAGCAGATGCAATTCAGTACTCATTTATGATTAAAACTCTCAAAAAACTAGAAATAAAAGAAAATTTCTTCAACTTGATAAAGGTCATCTACCAAAAAATGTGCAACCAACATCGCACTTAATGGTGAGGCTGTAGATACTGTCTCCTGAGATAAAGAGGAAGGCAAGGCCATCCCTCTCACCGTTCCTAATCGGCATTGCACTGGAAACCCAGGTCGATGACATAATACAGGAAAAGGAATCAAATGTATATAGGTTGGGAAGGAAGAAGTAAAACTGTCTTTGTTCACAGATGACTATCTGTGTAGGAAATCCCAAGTAATTAACTGAAAACTCCTGGAACTAGTAAGTCATTATAAGGAGACTGCAGGATACAAAGTTAATACACAAAAGTCAGTTGCTTCCTGTGTGCTAGCAATGAACAATGGGAATTCAGCATTTAAAACTCAATGCAAATGACTTACTATAGCTTGCCTTGAGAAAAAAAACATTTAAATAAAAACGCAATGCATGTACGTTAGCACAATAAAAGTGAAGTACCCAGGTAGAAATGTAACAAAATATGTACAGGAACTACATGAGAACAGCTACAAAACTGATGAAAGAAGCCGAAGATCTAAATAAATGGTGAGATCGTTGGTGCTGGCTGACAGAAATTTAATATGGTTAGGATATCAGTTCTTCCCAACTTGATCTATAGATTGAATACAATCCAAATCAAAATTCCAGCAAGTTGTTTTCTGGCTATTGAGAAACCGATTCCAAAGTTTATGTGAAAACTCAAACACTCAGAATAGCCGACACCATACTAAAAAATAAATAACAGAGAACTGACTTACTGTAAAGCTATAGTAATCAAAACAGCCTGGCATCAACAAAAGAACAGACAAACAGATCAATGTAACAGAACTGGGAGCCCAGAAATAGGTCCATGCAAATATAGCCAACTGATCTTTGAGAAAAGAATAAAGGAAATTCAATAAAGAATGATCATCTTTTCCACAAATTGTGGTGGAAAAATTGGACATCCATATACAGAAAAGTGAATCTAGACACAGACTTTACACCTATCACAAAACTTAACATGGATCACAGATGTAAATGTAAAATGCAAAACTATAGAACTGGATGACAACACGCAAGGCGATTTAGGTGAGCTTGGATTTAGCAATGAGATTTTTATATACATCATGAACTTCCATGAAAGAAAACTAGTTGGCCTTTATAAAAATTAAAAATTTGGTTCTGCGAAGCACGCTGTTAAGACAAGAAAATGATGGCCAGCCATGGTGACTCATCTGTAATCCCAGCACTTTCGGAGGCCAGCACAGGCAGAACACTCAACCTCAGGAGTTCAAGACCAGCCTGGGCAATAAAGACCTCATCTCTACAAATGAAAATAATTTTAAAAATTAGCCAGGCATGGTGGCATGTACCTGTAATCCCAGCTACTCAGGAGGCTGAGACAGGAGAATCGCTTGAACCCCTGAGGCGGAGGTTGCCATGAGCCGAGATCCTGCCATTGCACTCCAGCCCGGGCA